CCAATGATGGACAGTGCAATGATGGACAGGGCTGTCACCGGCCTTCTCCCATGAAAAGTTTATGGCGTGGCTTTTTATCATGCCCAACAAATATTACAATATTAAAAACAAATATTACAATTTTTTAATCAAATATTGGAGTACCATTTAATTCGATACTTTACCAATATATCTTTTGAATGGAGACGTTATTATCATTTATTTTTATTATACTTATATGGAAATTATTTTGAATGGTGACATAAACATATTTAATTTTTATATATGATTTGATTCCATAAAAGATTATGATCAATAAAATTTGAATTCTCTTTTAATATTATAGGTTTGATACTGTTTCATATTGTAGGAATATTATATACATTAAAATATATAAAGATATGAAAAAAATTAAATCAAAACTTTACAAATATATCTTTTGAATGGAGATATTAATATTATTTATTTTTATTATATATAGAAAACATTTTGAATGGTCACATTAATACATTTTATTTTTATGCATGATTTGATTTCAAAAATTTATGATCAATAAATTTTGAATGGAATTATAATTTAACCAATAAAATTTTCTACCGACTTCTAAATATATTTGTGTATATTTTTTGAAAGGTTACATTTATATTCTTGAAAAAAATAACGTAGTTTAAAAGATGTATTGTTAACTATAAATATATTGTTAATAAAATTAACAAAAAAAGTATATTATAAATATATAAAAGATAAAGTAAATAAGAACTCTAATGTTTATCTTAAATATTTAATTTATCATTCTATAAATGTAAGAATAAATATTATTTTGTAATTATTTAGATTCTTATTTGACCTAAAATAAATTATTTCAATTTCTGTAAAAATGTTAATAAAACAAAACAAAATCAATTGAGATTTGATAATTTTTTTAAGTTTATGAAATAACTAAAATATATCATAATCTTTTCAAATTAACTTTATAGTTGTAATCATGATAAAAAAATATTAAATGGTAATCATGAAAATTTAATTAAATTAACTTTATATAATATCATTAATATTTAATTATTGAAAATTCGCAATAAACTGAAAAATATTTATTACAAATCGAATATAATAAAACATAAGAAATAAATACATAATTTTAAAATGTTATATATGATTCATTATAATAATAAATGTTAAATTATTATTTAATATTATAATAAATTTTCCGATATTCTTAGATTTAATTTATTCTTTTTCCCGTATATAATAATAATATTATATTATTATTTAATATTATAATTTTTGATTGACAATAATAAATTCATTTTAATTAGTTAGACATTAAGATAATAAATTTAATATATATCACTAATACACGATATTTATTTATAAATGTAATTAACTAAGAGACACATATTTATCACACTTGAATAAATAAATTTAAGATGATATGGTAAATATTTATTTTTATAATTATTTTTATAAACTTAAATAACTTACAAATATTTTTATAAACGAACAAAATTCAAATATTGATGTAATTGTTTTTAACATGAATAAGTTAAAATATTTTTATAAATTGTCACACGGGTTAAAGACACTTATAAACGAGAAAAAGTCTACATATTAATATAATTAATTTTACAAACCAAAAATAAATTATAATAATTTTTATAAACATGAATAAATTATAAATATTTTTATAAACCGGAAAAATTCAAGTATTGATACAATTATATTTATAAAAGAGTATAAGTTTCATATATTTTTATAAATAGACACACGCGTTCATTTTTATAAACGAGAATAATTTAAAATTATTTTTATAAATGAGAAATTCAAATTTGATAAATGATTATATATTGTAATTATATTAATATTAACCAACTGAGTACATGAAATAAATTCACGGGTAGAATAAATGTATCTATGACATACCAGATAATTGAAGTTAAAGAATTGAATGTACTGTTTTAAATGACAATTAAGTTATATTTTTAAATACAAATTAGAAAATAAATTCATCTAAAATAAATTTCATTCATTAAATAAATATAGAAAATAATATACAATAGTTTTATCTATAAATTTTATTTATTTTTTATGTTCTTTTTAAAAATAATTGTAATTTAACGGGAAACTGTTATACATTATAGGTTGTAAAAAAATATGTAAATATGATATAATATAAAAGTTTTAAAATTGAAATTTGACGGGAGATGTCATACATTTTTAATTTGAAAAAATGGATTAATATATAAAATATGTTTAATAAATTTTTAAAATTAATTTATTTGGATTCAACTGAAGTTCGTTAACTCGCGTAGATGTGAGCACATATAATATAAAAGTATAAATTTGACGGGAGTTGTCATATATTTTAAGTTTGGAAAAATGGGTTGATATCTAAAATAGATTTAATAAATTTTTAGAACTAATTCATTTGGATTCAACTGAGTTTGTTAAATCATCTTAATTCACGGGTAGATGAGAACGCATCTATGAGATACTGATTATAGATTGTTAATTTTAATATTCATCTTTTAAATCTTATATAATTGAAGTTAGTGAATAGTCGGTATGATTTATTATAAATACATATTAATACTTAAAAAACAAGTGCATATTATTAGTCTATATTTATTAGTCATGCCTGTAAAGAACATAGATAACATCTTTTACATCCCTCGAATGTCTATGTCACATTTTGAGTCACTGTGACCATTTAAGTTGATTAGGAGAAAATTCCCAATTATTGTCTCTAACGCAATGACAATTAATAAATCTCAAGGCCAATCACTTGATATCGTTGGATTGTATTTGCCTACTCCTGTTTTTAGTAATGGACAATTGTTAGTAATGGACAATTGTGTGTAGCCATTTCAAGAGTTACAAGCAAAAGTTGTCTTAAAATCTTAATAAATGATAATGAGAATGTATCATCTTCTATCACTACAAATGTTGTATACAATGAAGTTTTTCAATTGCTTTGTTAATGGGTAAGTACACGACAATACAAATGTTTTTGTTTATAAATTATTTGCATATTTGGTGTCTGATTTTTGCATAAATTATCATGCAGACTAATGAGTTGAAAACATCAATGGAAAGCAGGTTGCTTCATATCTAAAGTTCAAATACGATATTGTTATCATTAATGTTATCGATGGAAAGCAAATTAATTTGATACACTAATTTTTTTCTCTAATTGATTGAACTTTGGTTACATCATTTTAATATTTTAAATTTGAATAATATATAAGAATGATCTATTACAATTCAAAGTTAGTTCTATATTATATGTAATTCGGACAAGACCCATATGATACCACAGATTTTTTAATAGTTATATATCTAAAATCAAAACCATTGAACGAGCCCACTCTCCTTAAAACAAAATTACAAAAACGCTTAAGGACATATGAAAACAAAACCACTACTCTTATTCCATCTGAGTTGTGCACAGACCCGCTGCCATCTTACACGTACTCCAATCCTCCGCTTTGCGTGCAGATCCGCGGCGACGCCACCACACTCATTGCAATTGCTTGAGTTAAGAAGGTATTCACAATGTATATCGTAGGTTCTCGATGGTACTGTACTAATTCCTTCTGCTTTACACACAGATCCGCAACCACCTTATATGGACTCCAATCCTTCCGCTTTGCCTGCAGATCCGCGGCGACGCCGCCATGCTCACCGCATTTGTTTGAGTTAAGAAGGTATTCACAATGTATATCGTAAGTTCTCGATGGTACTGTACTAATTCATTCTGCTTTACGCACAGATCCGCAACCATCTTACACGAACTCCAATCCTTGCGCTTTGCGTGCAGATCCGCGGCGACGCCGCCAGGCTCACCGCATTTGTTTGAGTTAAGAAGGTATTCACAATGTATATTGTAAGTTCTCGATGGTAATGTACTAATTCCTTCTGCTTTACGCACAAATCCGCAGCCACCTTATATGGAATCCAATCCTTCCGTTTAGTCATGGTCAATTATATATTGCAATTTCAAGAGTTAAGAGCAAAAGTGGGCTAAAAATCCTAATTCATGACAAGGAGAATGTACCGTGTTCTACTACTACTAATGTTGTGTACAAGGAAGTCTTTCAAGCACTTTGATAGTTGGTAAACTTTATATCTTATACTTTACGATTCAAATTAAAAATCTATTTTGAATTAAAATATATAGTATATACATTTTCCATGTATTTCAAGAAGTATATAATTTTTCCTATTTGTTCATGCAGACGTGATTTGTTGATAGGACCGACGCTTGCTACAAATATGGAGTTAAATGCCAACATGATTTACATGAGACATATACTCAACTGAAAACATGGTAACATACTTAATAATTTAATAATCTATAAATATAATGTGAATCCAGACGAGACCCGTGCGATAGCACGGGTTTGTTACTAGTTAACAAAAAAATGTGAGTGCAAATACAATAAAAATTTATAATACATTTATATTTGTGGTTATGATAAAATAATGTTATTTTTATCATGAATCAAAAGTAAGTTTGTGTCTTATATTAAACTAAATTTAATAACTTATTTCTATTTCTACATTCAAAACACATAGCTCCTCATTCTTCTCATTCTTGTTATTTTTATATTTCCCATCTCTTTAATACCATCAACTAGACAAAAAAAATTTTCAAAATATAATAATTTTATCTCCTCAAATATTTTTTTTTTAAAAGTTCACACGCAAATCTGAAAGATATATTTGAGGATGAATGATATTCATGGCCAATGGTCCCTTCTCAGCCTACCATGGCTAAACCTTCATATGCCTATCTCGTATTCTATTCCAATAAATGCTTGTTATTTTGAAATTTCAATTAGTCTTTCAGAAGAAATTTCAATTTATGTGTCGGGTCCAATTTTTCTGACCAGATGTGTCGGGTCAACTTGAAAGTAAGAAGAAGAAAAAAAAGATAGAGAACTTTGCAACCATAATATATAATTTTCACAAACTTTGTACTATATATTCATGATCACTAACCCACAAAAACTTCACTCAACATGGAATTCAACTTTCTTATCTACATCATTTTCCCTCTCCTTGTTCTCATCACAACAAAACTATTACTATTCTCCACAAAAACATTCAAAAATCTTCCACAAAACCCACCCTCTCTTCCCATAATTGGCAACCTCCATCAAATTAAACAACCAATTCATCACTACTTTCACAACCTCTCCCAAAAATATGGCCCAATCTTCACCCTTAAATTCGGTTCTCGACTCGTAGCTGTTGTTTCATCTCCATCTCTAGCCGAAGAATGTTTCACCAAACACGACATCGTTTTCGCAAACCGTATACAGTCTCTCAAAACCAAGTATCTTGCTTTCAACAACACAAACATAGTAACATCATCGTATGGAGACCATTGGCGCAACCTACGTCGTATAAGCTCAATCGAAATCCTCTCCAATCACCGCCTCAACTCCTTCTCAGATATCCGAAAAGACGAAACCATGAGGCTAATCCAAAAGCTTGCTGAAAATTCTCAAAATAATTTCGCGAAAGTTGAGCTTAGAACTTTGTTTTCTGAACTAACATTTAACATCATCATGAGAATGGTTTGTGGTAAACGGTTTTACGGTGATGAATCTGATGAGGCAAAGAAGTTTAGAGATATCATGAACGAGATGCAACAGTTTGGGCTAGGGTCCAACCTTGGTGAATTTGTGCCTTTATTTAGATTGTTTGATTTTAGTAGTCATGAAAACAAGTTGAAAAAGGTTGGGGAAAAGATGGATGCACTTTTTCAAGGACTAGTTGATGAACATCGTAGGGACAGAAATGAAAATAAGAATACAATGATTGATCATCTACTTTCTTTGCAACAATCACAACCTGATTATTACAGTGACCAAATTATCAAAGGCCTTATTATGGTTAGTCATTCTTGCACAGCTGTTAACCGAGTTGGCTTAACTGGATAGTCATCACTTATTATTATTACTCTTCTTTATATTACTCTTCTTTATTAAAGATATGAATTTCTAAATTATAATCATATGGATTGTTGTTTTTTTGTTTTGTTATGTTTTGCAGGCATTGATAGTTGCGGGAACAGAAACTTCGTCAATAACGTTAGAGTGGGCTATGGCTAATTTATTAAACCATCCAGAAATATTGAAAAAAGCAAAAATTGAAATGGAGAATCACATTGGAGAAGAGAGGTTAATTGAGGAAGGTGAAGCTACGAAATTACAATATCTTCAAAACATCATCTCCGAGACTCTACGGTTACATCCAGCAGCACCAATGTTGTTGCCACATGTATCATCAGAAGATTGTACTGTGGGAGGATTTGATGTGCCACAAAACACCATGTTGATGGTGAATGCGTGGGCTATTCATAGGGATTCTGATTTATGGGCTGACCCAACGAGTTTTAAGCCCGAGAGGTTTGAGGGTAATCGACAAGCGGATACGCATGGGTTTATGCCTTTTGGAATGGGGAGAAGGGCTTGTCCTGGATCGGGCTTAGCTTTAAGAACTTTGAGCTTGACTTTGGGCTCGTTGATCCAATGCTTTGAGTGGAAAAGGATTGGTGAAGAAGAAGTTGACATGAATGAAGGACGTGGAACTCTTGTGCCTATGGCTGTTCCATTGGAAGCACAATGCAAAGCTCGTCCAATAATCAATCAAATGTTCTCTTAATAAGATTTTACTTTTTTTCCTCTTTATAAAAAGTTCTAAATTTTCTTGGTTGTTTACATTTTTTATTATAAATAAAGTCTTGTAGCCATTTGAAAATACAAAAAATCTAAAAAAATGCTTTCTCTTCTACTTTCAACTTACTCTTATGAATTTCATATACACTTCATAAAAAAATTTATGCTGAAAAGTAACTTAAATTTGTTGTTTTAGTTTCTTTTGTAATTTTCTTTTTAAGATGGATAAAGTTTCCCTATTAGTTTTATATTTCTTGTATTGTTTCTCAATATCAATATGTAAATCATAACTAAAATATATGCTTTATTAAGGTGGTTTTCTTCATTCATTTTCCTTACAACTCAAAAAACATAAACACCGTGACATTAACAACATACATAGAACATTTTCTAAAATAAAAAACAAGAATATCATGTCAAATATAAAAACCTTTCAAATAAGAACTATGAAAAATGAGAGAAGTTGATTATCTATAATTTTGAAGAAGCATATGATACGAGTTCGCAAAGAGTTAAAATGGGTAAGCAAGCAAGCCTTGCAGTGTGACCGCAACTTGCTAGCTGACACCGGCTACCGCAAAAAGTTCAGTGTAAAAAAAAAACTAAAGAAAAGACCCTTCCATTATTATATTTCATATGACCTTTCAACCCTTTACCCAATGAAGCAAAGTTCTTAACTTTAGTCAGGGTCAACTCAAGATAACACTTTCATCCGTCGAAGCAGAGATATGAATTGCTACTTGAACTAGAAAGCATACTACTTAGATAATAGTAATTCATGTACACATCCCGTAGGCAAGGCAAGATATTATTAAAATGCCAAGTCAGTGCATAGAGATAAAGTATAGTTACATAAAGAAGAGGAACCTCTTATCAGAGGAGGCTATGAAATAGATTCCAGTGATTGCTTTGGCAAGCTAACTGAAGGATCGAGGATAAAACCTCTTGTCAATACAGACAATTTTCATAGAAAAGTAAGCGAGTGGAACGAGTATAAGGGCTAGTTAGTATGTGAGTTTTCTAAGTGTGAAAATTGTAGTAAGCAGTAGTTAAGCTCTCAAGCGAGTCATTCGTTAGTTTACTTGATAATCATGTCTAGTAAAGGAAGTAAGTAGAGTCAATAGAGTTGAGTAAGTCCTTGTTTCTTTCCCTTTTACGTTGAGGGATCAGGGATCTAGTAATGTAAGTGCTCGTTATGAAGATAGTATAGGAAAATATGGCCCCAATGATAGCACGAGTAGGGAAGCCCATGAAGTAGGTTTCAAGCCCGTTTAAACGCCTTTTAACGGTCGTTTGATGGTTGTTTAAGGTAGGTCTCAGGAGTTAAGTTTAAGGAAGATAAGATGTGCCAGTTATAATTACCAGGATCTGCCAGCGATATTTGATTGAAAGAGTGTGGTACCAGTACAAATTACTTTTTTGAATTAGATAGCCCCTCCTCTAATTCCACGAATAGATTCGATCCATTAGATTATTTTTTTACTCTTTCTTCTTTAGATTGCACGAGTTTTCCGAGCCTTAGTTTTCAGCTTTTGTTGAGCCTGCCTACCTTTACTTCTTTCATTCTTTGTTGGCTCGCAGTGAGGGATATCGATTACTGTTTGTAAGGGGAGGGATATTTGGTTCAACAACAAATCCTAATTACCCTTCTCTTCTGGTGACCAAGAAGCAGGAACGGGTAGTGGATTCTGCAGATTTATAGTCAGTTTGTTCTCGTCCCCACATAAAGAGAAACAAACTAGCAGTACCCTTTGGTGTTCTCTACCATGAGTCAAGGGCTAGGAATCCACTGAATAGCTAGTAAGATAGATTGTGTCTAACAAGCTAAGAATCTCCAGGCCGTAAGCCTTTATACCCAGCTCTAACTTTTTCTAATTATATATTTATTTACTTAATTATACCATAATTAGTTTAATTTCCTTCGAAAGATATGGCTTCTGGTTGTTATGTCCGATAATATAAATAGTCTCCGCGAATATTAATGATTCTACAGTGGCATAGCTCCAGACACGGGCTTCTTCCCTTCAAACTATGGGTAGCCTAATTTTTAGCAATAGAATACCCTTACTTAAGTAAGTCTGCACTTGGGCATAGTATAGGTTTAGCACTTAATCCACTATTAATGTATCAATGGTGGTGGTCCTTCTGTGTAAAGTTAGCTAGTGTGGATTCACCAAACAACCTCTTGATAAGAGCCTATTCATTTAATTCTTTCTATTTCCGCACCCCTGCCCGGTCCGGTTTTCTGAGAAATAAAGTCGAGACATTCAGAAAGAGAGTCGAGACATCATTCTCGTAGTCGAATATAATACCTTGAATGAGTTCGTCGTGGGGACCATCTCTTCGAGCATAGCCAAATTATCATAGAGCTAGAGAAGGGTTATAAGTAATACCTCCTCTAATGCCCAAGAGTGGAACATTAGGGAACTCCTCACAATGGTCAATGATAGTAATGTCCTCTTGAAATCGAGAGCACCAATAGATATCTGTATGAGAAAGCGACGTTATCCTTTGCGACCACCTCAAACCTTTCTCATTCTTCAATAATGATCGGGAAAGGTGTTAAATAAACCACCTAGCCAGCAAAGGCAAACAACACATAAGAGTCTCTCGCTTCCTCATAGTGCAAGTATGAAGAGAGTGCAAAACGTCTCCAAGAAATGTAGGCACAGGGTTACGAGTAAGGAAAATTTTGATAGCATTCACATCTATGAGTTGGTTAGGGTTAGGAAAAAGCACCAACCCATGGATTAAAAGAGCCAAGATCTCCTCAAAAGCTTGAAAGTTCATGGCATCAGAAAACAAATGAGCCTTCTCCATCAGGAATTTAGCCAAAAATCCTTTGACCCCACTTCTTGTCTCCCAATTAGTTATAATGTCAAAACTCTTCAAATGTAAGGTCGTGGCAATAGCTTCAGGTCTTAGAGCCTCCTCTAAACCGGTGAAGGGTATTTGATCAAGAACAGATACTCCTAGTAGTTGAGAGAATCCTTCCATTGTGGGCACCAATTGATAATCGATAAAGGTGAAATAATGATGTACAAGGTCAAAGAACTGAAAGAGCACCCCCATCATGTCTTCTTCAAAGCTTGAGGTAACCAGATGGAGAAGTTGATCATATCTTTTAGTGAACAGATAATTTTCAGGAACCCTTGATGCTAACTCTTTGAGTTGAGGAGGCACCCTTACGAAGTTGATTCAGATGGTATTTCTGCAAGCGGAAGTTGTATCCTACAAAACAGAACAAAGATAAATCCCCAGGTCGTTGAAATGGTTAGTGAAAATGCTATGATATGATGTCATGATGTTATGCTTGATCAAATAATCATACACAAACAAAGCACACAAGGTCTTAGTTTTAGGCTTGCATAGAGTTTATAGGTAAATACCCTCTTGAATTTTTAGTTGGCTCAACCTGTCCTAAAAGAAGTAACCGGGTTCTAGGAGCCTCAATATCACTGATCTTTCTTCATCGGCCATTATTTTAGCTAAAGCATCCAAATTACGGCCAAAATATCCCGAAAGTCCGATCTCAATGAGTGTAGTATCAAGTATCAACCAACTTTAGTCTTGCACCAAAGTCAGCCATCTCACTACTTTCTAATGGCTAAGTTGTTCAACTAAGCTTCTACGGTCAGTTAGTGCTTCATGACACCACACAGCGGTCCCATATTCTCCTTGACTGGACTCAAGGGACACCGGTGTTAGTTCTCTTATTTTAGGATTAGCTTAATTTTTTGTAAAACAAATAATAGCAGCAATGAAGAATATGATAAGAAGAACAGGTACAACAAGAAGTCATATTACAATGTCAGAACATGTTGTGTTAAACTTTCTCAACAACTGGAATAACATGTCGAAGAAGATGTCTCGACATCGCGCCTGCTGAGCTGGATTAATGAGATTCAGTTTATTCTCAACATTGACAGAATATTCAGGAGAATATTATACATCCTATGTGGCGCATATTTAAAGGTCCAGAAAATTCAATCAGAAATCAAGGAGAATGAAGACTTTCTAAATAAGGAGATTATTTAGGAAAGTAAAGATTAAAGACCTTTCTTGGGGCAGAAGTTTATGCAGTTTGTTACAATTGATTTGCTGTAAGTGAAGGGCCAAAACCAATTGGGTAACAGGTTATAAATAGAAGGGCTTGTAACCCAAAAAATACACGGCTTAAGATGTAGAAGTCTAGGGTTTTGTCAAGGTAAACCTCTCGGGTTGTGGGAAGGTTACCATGTTCACCTCGAAGCCTGTAGGTAAGAGGTGTATTATTCTTGGAGGAAGATTTGAAGCAACTCCAGGATGTGTTAGGAGCAAAGCTAACAAACGGTGGAGTTTGGCTTAGAGACTTAGCTAGGTTGTCATGGAAGTATGTCTTCCAAACTGTTTATCTATATGATCAGAATCTTGGTGAAGGTCCGTTTATGCAGTGACTGAGGTGTTGACTGCTAGACATCATTGTGATGATTGGATGTGGGATGGGGATATTCCATATCTATAGGGGACCTAGGTATAAGGGTCATTGGGTAGTGATTAAGTGCGTAGATCGTCAATGGGTGTGTTGACTGTATGGTCTGCAAATTGATACTACTGCTAGTGGACTTCATTCCTGGCTGGTAGCCCCTAGAGTAGGTGTTGTTGTACACTAAACTAGGTAAATAATTCTGATGTATTCTTTATATTTTCAGTACTGTTTTATTTTGCTTGTATGTTTATGTTAGATCAGATGTCTCGACATCCTTGTAGGACATCTAAGTCTGCTGTGCCAGAATTTCAATTGGTATTAGAGCAGGCATCCTGTTCTGCTCTGGGTGAGATCCTGGAAAGGTACTTTCTGGTCATGGGCAAGGAAGAAAGTATTTACTGGAAAGAGGTATGAGCTTGGACAATTCATACTATTTTAGGGTATTTCACCTTATTAGCTCTATTTATCGTCACTGACTTGTCGCATGGTTGGCAAGGGAAAAATGCATAACAATTTGG